GCTCGTCCGCGTGGCTTGAGGGAGGGAGCCGTGTAGTTTGTACAAGGTTATAGGGTTGGCGGGGGTGGAGAGGATTGGGGAGGGGGATATCGCGTCCGCGCTGGGGTCGATAGGTGGTAGTTTTGAGGCAGGCTTTGTGGCGTTTGCGCCAGTGGAAGGGTTTGGTGGGTTTGAGCTGGATGGCGCGGCGTCACTGTCAGGGCCTGCTGGATTGGAGTCAGAGTCAGGGGATTTAACAACTGAGGTGGATTTGGGTGGATTTTCGGTAGTCGTAGTCGTAGTCGTAGAGTGACCGGCACCATCATCTAGAAGACGGGAAAAGACTCGATAGTGGAACTCGACCGAATCAGCGCACGACACGAAGACGATGGCCTTCATCACGGAGCCTTTGCGCGCGAATGTCCGTTTGAGAAGGGCCGTCAACGTCACCAGACGCAGCTTGGAGGCTGTCACGAGGTAGGACTGTTTGAGTTGTGCGGGAGCTAGGAATTCTGAGCCTCTCTCGTTGCTTTCTTCGTTGCCGTCCGACTCGCCCTTGATGAGGACGGCATCTTTGAGACTGATCTCGCCGAGTTTCTGTACGTTCATTTTCAGCGTCGCCGAGCAAAGGACGGTCGTGCGATGATCGGGAAGACCCGGCCGGGCACTTTTGCGCTTCTTCTCGTCTAGAGTCTTGACGATCTTGGTGATATCCTCTTCAAAGCCAAGGTCCACGAGACGATCGCCCTCGTCCAGGACGAGCCAGCGTACGTTGCTTACGTCGAGGACTTTGGTGTGCTCGAGATGGTCGACTAAGCGGCCCGGCGTGGCGACGAGGATGTTCAGGCCTTTCCTCAGGCGTGCTTTTTCGGATTTCTTCTTCTCCCCACCAATGACAGTGCCGGCGACGATGTAGTGTGCGCAGCCGAGTAGACGTTCGAGGACCACCGAGATTTGCTTGCATAGTTCTCGGGTTGGTGCGAGGATGATTGCGAAAAGGCCGGAATCGCGGTGTAGGGCTGGATCATGGACGGCGCCTTTCTGAGATTCAGACATGGTGATGATGCGCTGTACGACGGGAAGAAGATATGCTAGGGTTTTGCCGGAACCGGTTTCTGATTGTATGAATGCGTCGCTTGCTTCTTTGAGCATTTGGGATACCGCTGCCTTCTGGATGGCGGTCGGGTTCTTCAGATTCATCTTCGTCAGGAGGTGGGCGGCAACTGTAGGGGACAGGCCGAGAGATGTAAACGTGTCGATGCCGTCCACGAGAGGCGCGTTCGAGGGCGCTGTAGGTTTGTCCTCTGCATCCTTCTCTTTCTCGTTGTCTACTGTCGACACTGGCATCGGGTTGTAGGTAAAGAGAGAAGATATGACTTCGCGTGGTCCTTTCGATTGTTTTTGCTCAGCACCCCTCTGCACATTTCCTGCAACTTCGCCTGAAGTCGTCGTGTATCCATTTTCACGCCTTCTCTTCGCCGGCCGAGGATCTGTGAAGTCTTCTCCTTGTTCCTTCGAATGGGGTCGTGATTGTATGGGCACACTATTCGGATCGTTTGGTTTCCTCTGCCCACCTCGCTGAGCCGTTCTCTTCGCTTGCAGTCGTTCTCTCCAAGACCCACCTTTGAACCTTTGGGCTTTGGAATTGATGTTCTCTGCAAGGGAGAAATTCAGAAGCATCCCATCGTCGGCCATTATGGGTAGTGGTCTTATGGCCTGGGTTGCAGGCTGGCGGTGGGAGAAAAGAGCGGAATGAATACGAATAGAATCTCGAGACTTTTTTTAAGACGATGCGGAGGAAAATCTACTCCGATTGGTAAAAGACGGACTCCACCTCTTTATGCAGCTCACAGCCCTCGTGAAGCCCACAGCCAGCGGTGCCAGCCTTCTACATACCACGCTGCACTTTTCATCATGAACACTTTGACTCATTCAAGAAGGGCAGTGACTCCTTGTCGCTCAGGATGAGGATGTTGCGTCTCCCCTTCAACGTCTTCCGCCGCTCAAAAGACCCCCAGGGCGGCCCTCTCCCGCCATGACCCGAGGTGCATTGAGAGCATGCAGCCTCTGCGCACTCCCTAGACTAGGCACGCGACAACTCGTGTCGCCCTCCCGATGGCCACCTGCTCATCTGTCTACGTCCGCCTCACGATGGAGTTCTACCGTGAGCGAAGCACAACCTCCATTTCCGATCTTTCGCGACGTCCCCCCTCTACGAGAACTGCGCAAAAAGATGTTCCGAGAAGGCAAAGAAGTGGGCTTTGTCGCTACAATGGGGGCACTACATGACGGGCACCTGGACCTCGTAAGGCACGCTCTACAAGAAAACACAGACGTATTCGTGTCCATCTTCGTCAACCCCACTCAGTTTGCTGTACATGAAGACCTGGATTCATACCCCAAGACTTGGGAGGACGATCTGCGAAAGTTGAGACTAGTACAAGACGAGCATGCTGCCTCCTCGGGGCCAAACTCGGACTCCAAGATCCGTGGCGTCTTCGCACCCACCGTCAAAGTCATGTATCCTACTCTGCCGCCCTCCTCGGATATTGCAGGTTCTGGATCCTTCGTAACGATCACGCCCCTGGGGAACCAACTCGAGGGCTCATCCCGACCCATCTTCTTTCGCGGCGTGGCCACAGTCTGTACCAAACTGTTCAACATCATGCAAGCCGACCGTGTGTACTTTGGACAGAAAGATATCCAGCAATGCGTCCTGATCAAACGTATGGTCAAGGACTTCCACATCCCGACTGAAGTACGCGTCATCCCGACTAGTAGAGAGCCAGATGGCCTGGCTATGAGCAGTCGGAATGTATATCTCGGTGAGCGACGGAGGCAGGATGCCGTTGTATTGTCCAAGGCACTATTTGCGGCCAGGGATTTGTACAATTCTGGCGAACTTTGGGGCAAAACGATCAGAAACGCAGCGTATGACGTTTTCAACCAAGCATCGCTGGTCAAGAGGAAAGACGGCCAGCAGGGAGGGAGTTGTCAGATGGAGATCGATTATATCGCCTTGAGCGAGCCGGACAGTATGGGGATGATTGCCAAGGTTAACCCCAAACGAGGAGCAATCTTGAGTGCTGCCGTCTATGTGCAGCCTGTTGATGAGCCGAGAAGCGAGGAGGAAGTGGGTCAGAGAGTGGTGAGGTTGATTGACAATGTCATTCTGGAACCAAGGGAGGGCGATGCGAATTGATCGGTACATCAGGGCGCGTATGATGTTATCCAGAGCAGGAATGCTGTGCAACCTATAGTGCTGTTTGGACCCGAATTTCCAAAACATCGATCTGGGGAGTCAGCAGCCGATCCACCAAATTGATCAAAAAAGCTCCAAAGCAGGATGATGCACATTATGTATGGGCATCAGTAAATATCCCATAACGAGATTTTGCCGTCTTTGCCTCCAGCTGCCAACCAGTGCGTCTGACGGGCCTTCTCTTCTCGTTGACGCTTGATCAATTCAAGTGCTGTAGGCCTTGGTGCGACTTCGGCTGACTGGCTGCTCGATATGTCTGGGTCTGACTCTGTCCCAGTACCAGCATGTATATCACCATTCTCAGGGTCGATTGCGGCAAAGTCTGTAGCATAACAGCCTTGTTTATGCCACTGTAGAACAGCCAGCTCTTTCATCGTCTTTGCAGAGTAGACCCGGACACGACCGTCCCATCCAGCCGTTGCAAAGATCTTGCCGTCTGAGCGTATGTTCAAGCCTTGCTGGCCGGCATGTTTGGTGTTGACTGTCCTTTCGGGTCGTGTCTCGTACGGGACATCGGCAAGCTGCAGTGTAAATTTCGCTATCGTAGCGTCGGCACTGGAGGTAATGAAATGCTCCCTGGAGGGTGAAACATCAAGTGAGAGAATCGGCTGCGAATGTGGTTTGCTCGACATTAGCTTTTGCCACTTGCTCTTAGCGTTCACTTCCGGTTCATGGTGTGAAAGGATGATGACTTGTCCATCCTCGTATCCAGATATCAAGAGGAGTCTGGAACTTGAGTCATGGAACAAGGAGACTGCCATAACCATGCCGGTTGTCAAGGTTGTGTCAGAAGGGATTTGTGATACTCGGTGTTCAGAGGGAAGTTGAAATATGTCGATACCTCCTGAGTCAAGACCGTTTGGAGAGGCGATCAGTTGAGGACTGGCTTCGGCATCGGAAGAATGCTGCTCGGGAGTCTCGTCGCACATGGAAAATGCGCAGAAGTTCAGGGCATTTACTGGCATAGAATGCGACAGCCACGGCTGCGCTTGGTCAGGATGCGCTCCATCGCCAGGTAATTTCGTATCCAGAACAGCAATGTCTTGTCTTCGAACTTGCCAGACGCGAAGTTTGTGGTCCCTTCCATGGCTGGCGGGAGTAAAATATCAGCGCGATGCGGTGAACAACAGGATGGAGGGTTGGTATACCTGACAAGTCTGTCATTAGTCCAGTGCCGGATGGCCATGATCGCTCCTTCGTGGCCTTTCCAGACAGCCATGGGACGTTTGGTCGCCAGACTCCATATCACCAGCCAACCTTCACTGTCACCAGAAGCCAGGTAGGTATTCCTGCAGAAGAAGTGAAGCGCATGAATGGGAGCGTCATGGCCCCTTAGGACGTAAGTAGGTACTGCTGGCCGCTGTTCCATTGCCCGGAAGTCTCAACCGACTACCTGATGGCGGAATATCCCAACGGGAAATATATCGCTGCTGCAGACCTTCGTCTATGGGCCATCGTCACCCACGATACCTGTAGTTCTTTTCCTGCACAGCTCGTGGTCACACAGTGTCACTCAGCCCGAGTATGATGGCCAGATCTTACACATTTAGAAGGCTGAATCACAGGTCATTGACATCGAACTGGCTTGAGCGATGCAGGCCATGATGATACGTGACGCCAAGACCGCATTCACCCGCAGGACAGAACAGAAAAAAGCGATTTGCATTCACCGAGCACTTCCAGGATCCAACCATTGATGCAAAAATACTATTCAGCTCCATTCTCTATCATGCCTACGGCTAGAACTGCAAAAAGAAAATGCTCACTATCGGATTCGAACCGATGATCTTGTCATCACGGGAATGGGTTTAATATATACGAGTGACACGCCTTACCCCTGGGCCAAGCGAGCATTAATTCTGTGACATAATCAACACCTGAAATTATGCTTCTCAAAAATATATCCCTCTGATAAAACTGATAGTTTCTAGGCGTCGATTGGCTGGACTTAGGCACCATCAACGTTAAAACGGGGACATATCTTATCATTCATACTGTATACCTTAACTTCGACGGCAACCCGAAGCGAAAGGGCTGGATCTTGTTTGGACATCTGGACGGTCTACAGAATGCTATATTAGAGACTGGTCCTTACCTCTTATATTCACTGAGCTGTATGCCTTGTCCGGGAGGGTTCTACTCTTGGGATCATGCCTAGAGCGGACTCTGCAGTCAGACTATTGACAGAGCAGACTCCCATCCAAAATTCGGTTTTCCCATTTCTGGCATCCAGTCAGAGGTTCAACATATCAGTCACTGTTATGATCCTGGCGGTCTCTAGAATATGATAATGCTAACCTGCATCATCTGACCCTAGGTGACTCTGTTGTTGCGGCCAATGGTCCAGGCTACGCTTTTCTACAATAGCATGGGCCCATCCAGGCTTCGGCTCCTCGCGCTCTTCAGATGTGCCAACAGAGAAGTCCCGCGATCGAACAATGCAGGTCAACAATTACTACTGACTGCTTCTTACTTCTTAAGACACCTCTGATAGCCACATGGATAGCGTTTCCTGAAGTGCAGGGATTTATCCAGCTTCTCAAGCCACCCGCTTGACTAAACCTTCAGCTCGTCTATTATCACGGCTGCAAGAATATCAGGCCGGTAAACCGCAACACTCCGAAAACGTGTCTGCGCATCAAGAATCCTTTTTTGAACATGATCTAAAGCACAAAGCGATTCGTGCTATAGGCGAGAAAGCTAGAGGTGGAATGGCTTCAGCTGGATTGCGCCTTTGCAGGGGTACTGGGCAGTCCAGCCCCCACGATGGTATCAAATTTTAGGGCCGTCGCAAAACCTCGTGCTTCATCGCTCTAGCCACATCACTTGCATAATTTACGGACATGGGGTACAGCATCTGCCACGTGGAAAGAAGCCACAAGATGCACAAGATGACAGATACCTCATGTCGAAGCGAAGACTATACCGATAGAAGAAGCTGGCAGGGCGGGAGAGAGTCCAGAAGGATGTTGGTCGGGCGCGCCGAAGACTACGGCAAGCAGGGGTAGCCGGGGGAGTTGCCCAGAGAGGAAGACACAACCAGACAAGTGGACTAAAACGGAAACGCCATCTACTTTTCGACAACTACTCGCGGTACACCAATGCAAATACTAGAGCTACCGGAATTTCGGATTTGTCCAGCCCATCAAAGACCGGCGCAAACGGTGGGAGAATAGTCCCGCTGATTTTGATGAGTGTCGAGCTGAAAGCGAGCAAGCGAAGACGAAGAAGGATAACGGTTTCAGGCGGACAGAGAACTCCAAGCGAGCGGAGTAAGCCAAATCTTTCCTTCTTCCACATCTGGGTGACCATCGGGTGACCGGGGCCCCTTGTGCACAGGTCATACTACGCGCCAGGCGTGGCCAGCAGGCTCGGATCCCTCTCGCCACAAGCAAGCGAGGACGGGTGTCACGACGGCCTGAAAGAGAAGACAGAAGTGCATATCTCTTACACGGTAGACGAGTACGGCTCATGGCGCTGAGGGAAGGTTCAGGACAGGAAGGAAACAGCAGGACAGGCACGACAGGATAGGCGCAAGAGTGCTGAATGAGGGAAACCATGACGAATTCACCAGACATACAGCAGCTGAAAAGAGGAAGAGATGGACGGATGGACAATTGTGTTTGCCCTTTTGGACCAAGACCGGCGACGTCAACTACGAGTACAGACGACAGATTAGCGGGAGTCAATCCGCCAAGGGATAAATACAAATCAAGGCCATCCAGACTCGGCGCAGCAATACTGCGGTGCTGGTGCAGATTGGAGCACGACGAGGTACCTCCGGGGGATCTCCTGGGTTTGTGTTGTTTGTTTCTTTGTCTTTTGATACGAGTAGTTGGCCTACGGACGTACGGGTGAAGGGATATCCTTGCCAGCGGAATCGAAAGTTGATGAGCTGTTACGCTCAGGCTGGCAGGTGTCGGGTTAAAGCTGGACAGCTTTTGATGTCAATAAGCTGAACCAGAGCGACAAGGTACCTTAAGGTAGGTACCTGTAGGTAGGCCCCCGGGTAGGTAGCTTGGTAGGTACCTATGGCACTAGCCCTGGGTGATCCTCTGTGGTCCTGGTCCTGGGCGGCCCCATAACTCAACCCCGGCTACAGTGTCTGCCGTAGTAAGTAGTCGCTCGGCATCGCCTTGTCACCCCTGCTCGCCCTGCTGGTCTTTGGCGAGGGCCGCTGCAAGAAGTGCTTCTTGGATGCTTCTCTGCCAATCACCCGCTGTGTTCTGGCTCTCGTCGACTCCGAATCTCTAGTTCCTGTCAAGATGGCCTGCCCTTGCTCAAGCCAGTCACAACTCATACGAGTTAGTCGAAAGCCACACCCTAATTTCAGCAGCGAGCCAGAGTGTTGGAACTGCGGATCGACCCTTCACTACCCACTTCCTTGACCAAAGCCTGGGCCCTTGCGTCCAGACGAATATGTCAAGAGGTCGTCTGTTCTTTCATTTTCACAATATGAAGGCTCCATGTCCGCCGACTCGACCTGCCCCTCGTCAAACCTTCGCAAACCTCAGCCGTTACATCCAGGGAAATACTTTCAGCAAGGTGTCGTGGGAACAGCGACATACACGGTAGACAGGTATGTTGATGTTTGTTCCTTTTGAGATCTACTCCTATGGCTAGTGAGGCCCTAGCCAAACAATATTTTGGGGGCCGTCTCTGTACGGGATGGTGGGAATGCCCCTGGTCTGCTGCGTGCAACATAGCTGGTGATCCTTCACACTGAAACCATCCCCTGGAGCTGCGACATTGCTCGATTTGCTATGCTACAGAATCTGGCAGCAACACTGGTCTTCTTCATGAGGATTTTCGAGCTCGACAGCTGTGGTCCGAATGCATTTCAGGCAGCCCATACTGACTTCTCACCTCCAGCAACTTCATTACGACGATTTAAGAGATACCACACCCGCAAACCACGATCCTCTATCATCTTCCACGACCTGGCCTGAATCCTCCGAGCCCTCACCACAGTTGGCCCGAATACAGCGCAGTCCACCTGCTTTACAGAGAGACAAAGACCTGCCATAGAGATCTGCGGTCATGACACCGCAGTGAAGAATTCAAGCTGGCGCATCGCTATTCTTCCTCGCACCTGCCCGCGGCGGCTCTCCCCCTCTCCGGCGATCATCCATCCTCAATTGCTCCTATCGCATACCACTACACCTACCCCGACGCCTCGTTATCGCGACAACCGCAGCTGGCCCAAGAGCACGACGGTGAGAAGCAACATAGACAAAGATCCACACTTCTAACACCACCTCATGCGGCTGCTGATGCGACGGGCAATGACCAGCATTCGATGACCAGGGCCTCGTCGACCAAATCGACACCCACATCGCAGACCCTGCAGCATAGTCCTGTTTCGATGACAGAGCCTGAGACTCCCTCTCAGGCGAACCCTGAAAATGCCCCAACAACCAAACCGAAACGTGTTAGGACCGGCTGTCTGACTTGTCGCGAGCGACACCTGAAGTGCGATGAAGGACTGCCAAAGTGTCAAAATTGCCGAAAGTCAAACAGGAAATGCAAACGCGGTGTCCGGCTGAATTTCATTGACATCCAATGCGAGCGTCCGCCTCACCTGCTTCCGCCAACTGCTGACTGGAAGGTTACATTCCAAGATGACTCTCGCGATATTGCTTCAGAGTATCATGGTGGCCTGGAGAAGTACCACCCTCTCGAACCAGAGCACAAACGACAAAAATTGAGCATTCCGCCTGTGAACTACGACTATGGTCAGATCACTGCTCCGATGTTGGCGCACCAACAACTGCCCGCCCGGCAGTCATACTCGCAGTCATATGTCGAACCATCTCACCCGGCGTATGCAAGTTCTTCCACTCAGTCGTACGAGAATGCCGCAAACGTCATGGCTTCGTATTCGGAATCCCGTCAACCTGTGACACACCCATATGAGCAGGCAATGCTGGTGTCTACCGACCAGAGTCCAACGCCGCCGCAGCTGGAGAACAGAGACGAAGTCCTATACTTGCAAGTCTTTGTTGAAGAGGTCGGCCTCTGGATGGATTCCATGGACGCAGAAAAACATTTTTCGCGGCACATCCCATTCCAGGCGCTGAGGGAACCAATGTTAAAGTACGCACTACTTGCGTGTGGTGTTCGACACCTGACGCTGGTGAATGCTGCTTACCCCGAAGAGCATGCATTGAACTATTACAACAACGCAACACAACTGCTTCTGAAATCGCTCCAAAATCCCGACCGGGACAGCGCTCTTTGTGCCACCACTGCCACCATTCTCAATGTCTACGAAGTCATGTCCGAGAAAGCCCTGCAGAGGATGAACCATATCGCTGGTGCCCGAGCCCTTATAAAAGAATGTCGCTGGGACGCTCAGGCTACTGGCATCGGAGCTGCTTGCTTCTGGCTGAATGTTGGACTAGAGTTGTTCAGTTGCCTGCACTTCAACTGGGGCGTGGCTTGGGATCCCGATACCTGGGGCATAGACATGACCATGAACCCTCAGCATACGGGTGGAAATGAAGAACACTGGACGCACAGAATGCTATGGATACTGTCCAAGATTACGAATTTCCGTTCAACAGTACAGTCACGATACCACGATGCTTCTGTTCATGCCGAGCAGATACGTGTACACCAAAGACATCAACAGTGGATTGCTTTGAAACAGCTCTGTGACCGCTGGGACCAATGTGTGCCGCCGACGATGCACGCAATAGCTTCCATCCCACCTTACATGACCAACTCGAAAAGTGCTTTTCCTGAGGTCTGGCTCATCAAGAGGTCAACAATAGTGGCGAGACTATTCTATCATACTGCCATGGCATTGCTCGGCTCTGTCCATCCCTTTGCCCATATGCAACCTCAAAC